TTTAGTAATAATATTATTTTTAATCTATATTTATTGATAGTTAACATTATTATTACATATTTATTAATTTTTAGTATGTAATAACATTTAATTTATAATTCATTAGTATTTAATATTTAATTTATATTCGTAGAAGTATAATGATACATATTAATTAATTTATATTTACAAATTAATAATATTTTAATAATAATAATATTATCATTTTTAGTCTATATTCATTAATATTTAGCACTGCTATTGTCTATTTATTAATTTTATTATTTAATAACATTTAACTTATAATTTATTAGTATTTAATATTTAATATATATTTGTATAGAAGCATCGAAATTTATATTCAAGAAGTATATTAATAATATTAATTTTTTATTGATTAATTTTAAATATGAATTTGGATAATAATAATAATAATATTATTATTATTATTATTTTAATCTATATTTATTAATATTTAACATTTTTATATTTATTTAATAGCGTAAATAAGACCCTCTATGAGTCGGTGTATTTTTTAAAATTGTTAATCAATATATTAAAATGAGATAGATATCTCATTAATCAAACAAAAGCCCCTAAAATGAGTGAATTTCTTTAAAAAAAATTATACGTATTTGTTAATATTATTATAAATACCAAAATGGTAGGATATGAATAGTAGAGGCAAATAAGCTTGATTGTTGAACAAATAGATGTAGCCAAGCGGTTGTTGCACAAATGAGTGTTTGCATTCTAAGCGGTTACAGATTGTGAAAAAGCGCTATAAAGTGCATGAAGGATGCCGATGTATGCGGGAATGGATAATTTGCGTAAAGAAATGAGTATTCCAAGAGATTAACTGTATTTATTAATTTATTGTTTTAATAAATACATGGAAGTATACTAATAAATATTAATTGTATTTATTAATTTATTGTTTTAATTTTCATATTATTACTTTTAATCTATATTTTTTAATATTTATCATTGATATTAACAATTTATTTATTAATTTTATTTTTAATAAAATTTTAATTTAAAATTTATTAATATTAAATATTTAATATTATAAATATATTAATAAATTAAATAATTAATATAAATTAGTATAATAATTTTGGTATCCATGTAAGTTTTATATTATAAATCCTAAACCCTAAATTTAATTACACTTTTTATTTATCATTTATGTTTCATGATTTTATGATTTTGTCACTTAAAATTTCACACATTTTTATCATTTTATTAGTTGATTGTATGATATTGTTAGTTAATTATAACGGCCTAGTAGTTACTATACTTATTATAGCTTAGTTACTATGCAGTATAAAGAAATAATAATTATGAACTACCATAGGATTATCATGCAATAAATAACGAATCCCATGCACATAGGCATATGTAAGGAATAAAAAATTAAAAATAGCTCTTGCACATGTATATCATCTACATAAGATACCATTATACATAAGAAAATCTTACTTGCTAGGCAAGTGCCTATACAATATCAAATCTACATAAGAGAAGTACCGCCAAAAAGAAAACTGGTCAACTCTAGCATGACCTTTCACAACTAGATAAACCAACATTTTAATTTTGTTATGCTCTCGTATAAAATATGATTATTATAGTTTCAACTTTAAGAAGAACAAAAGATAAGCTTGTGAAATGATCAACATGTAATAACAACTTAAATCAACAAAGCAACAACATCCAACTCAACATACAACTTCCACATATCATTAAATACTACACAAACAAATTGCACCTTATTACAACAAATAACAACTTCAACACATTACATTCTCAATCATCAATATTCTTCTAATATGTCGTCACACATCAACTAAGAATATTTCTTATAACAAAGGTGAATAGTTTAAGTGATTAAACCCTATCAAATCACAACATGTGACTTATCTCAATCAGGTCAGTTATCAAACGTACCTCTCAAAAAACCTGTTTAACAACTCAATTTTATTTCTCAAATTTTACCACTTAAACTATGAAGTCTACTATTATTGTAAGGATATAACAACTTGGGTATGAGTTTATTATGACATTAGCTTGTAACACTGATCTACCTATGAGATTAGCCCACTAATTATCCTTCAAATACCATGTCCTTCTAATACTTTATCCAGGACTAAGTCTCTAACTTTGTACTCTACTCGGCTAGTCATTTTATACATGTATGTCTTACCCACATATAAATACAACATAAAACCCAGAAGAGACAACTTAAAAACATCTACCTAATTCAAAAGTTAGCATCGTAATGCATATCCACACAATGAGATATTCTAATTTCTAAAACGCTTTTTACTCTTCTCTAACTTTTATGTATCTCAACAAAGATGTATCTTCACCATATATCTAACATCTTAACAACTTAAACAACTTAAAACAACACAACTTTAAAACACAATCATATATCATCTCACAACTTACCGTATAAACATCATTAACCATGTATCGACTTACAACATAAAAATTCATCATCACAAATCACCATCCATACAACTTATTTATCATCATTTAACTATGAAACAACTTAAAATAATTAGTCTTCATCGTGCCACTTGCATCTGGTGCCACTCACTAGATGTTCGATGCCATTGAAATAAGAGGTTCCTTACTCCATCCATTCTTTTTTACTGGTCAGATTTTTAGTTAAATTTTGTTTCTATTTATTTTTATTTTCAGATTTCAAGATTATATTATTAATTATATTCTTATAAAACAACTGTCGTAGTAGTATTTAACACGTAAATGTATAACTATAGTTATTATGGAATTGAATCAGTCGTTACCCAGGATTTCTTGAAAAAAAACAAAGTCATAAGATAAAATTTCGTACACTGTCAGGAGTTTTATTGCATTAAATTTTAATATCATAATATTTTTTAAATAAAACATTGAGAAATCCGGTATCCGAGAATCCATTATAAAGGTGTTTCTACTTTAACGCCTATTTTTTTTATTCATCTTCTTTAACGCCTCTCATTAAAGCCTTCAATATTTAATTATATTAAATATTTAATATATATATATATAAGAGAAGAAATATAGTTATTTTAATAATAATTTTTAATAGATTTTTTATTTAATAATTTATATTTTATATTTTTTTAAATTTAAAAATTATTTAATATTTTATTATATAAATATAAATTAATATTTTTTAATTTAAATTAATTAACGTATAATATATATTTTTTAAATTTTAAATCCTAAATATTGAGATTATTTATGAGACTACTTTTGCATAAGATATTTACGATATCATAAACCATTCACATTCACAATAGATTGAATTATATTTTTATCTTTTATTTTTTATAGTTTAATTTAATTTTTTCTATTATTTTTTATTGTTGATTTGTCTATTATTAGAATATTAAATATAGTTTCTTATTTTTTAAAAATGATACAATATGACCATTTTTATAAAATTAAACTAACGATGTTAAGTTTTTATATAGTGATGGACTGATGGTACATATCATTTTATTATCAAGTCACATATACAAAGAGTCAATGTTGTTAATCTTAACTGAATAAAAGACCAAATTGCATCCTATTTAAAATTAAGGAACTAAATTAAATATTTTGATAATGGAAGAATTAGATTGAACCAATTAAATAAAACAAGAGAAAAAAAATAATAATTTAACTTTGATAATATTTAAAAGAAATAATTATAACACATTTTAAATATGTTTTATATTATTAAATAAATTTAGTAAAAAAATTAAATATTTAATGATTCACTTTTTTATTTAATAATCCATTTATATTTTTATATTTTTAATAAATTATAATTAATAAAAATATTAGAAAGATTATTTTCATTACTCCGTATTAAAAAGTTACTACTTTGAACCTAATTAAAAATAATAAATTAATTTTTTTTTTCCAATTATAAAAAATAATCAACAGTTTTTAGAGTTACTTAAAGATAAATTTATTTATTTTCTTATTTTATAATTAATTCTATTTTTTATACATTGATTTATTTCTTATATAGCATGTGCCTAATAAAGGATATATTTATAATAAAATTTTAATTTATAGAATAATTAATTAAAATGATTAATTAATTATTTTTCTTGATAATTTGTACTATGCTATTTATATTTAAGACCGAAAGCTATATTAAGTAATTATATTTATGTACTCGGTTTTGAGGATAAGAAGAATGCTAGCGAAATTCGTTTTAACATTCTTTGTCTCTCTAACATCCTTTTTTTAACAATCTTTACAATTGATTATTATTATTTTTATTTTATAATTAATGAAATTTATTAAAAATTACAAATTTTAGTAAAACCACACGAAGAGACTTATTAAATGTGTCACAAAGACTTACCAAATTTTGTTATTTTTAATAAATTTTAATCAATACTTTTTTCATATCAAAATGATTATTGGTTAATGTTTTTTTCTTCTATAAACATGGTACATATAGTGTTTTAAAATTGTAATCAAAGACTAATATTTTTATAAATAAATTAAGAGTAGTATTAAGTATATTTTATTTTGATACAATTATACCAAAAATAATTATACTATAGAGTAATATTAAATATATTCTATTTTGATGTAATTTATATTTGAATAAATTAGGAAAAATCATATTAAATTAAAAATTATGAATTTTTTGAAAAATTGTAGGGTGATAAAGATAGTGTGGATGAAATATGTTTTTGAGATGAATTAAAGTGGAAACAAGGAGAAAAATAAAAGGTAAAAAGAGAAAGAAAATGAGATGAAAGTGACATGGAGGAGAAATTTATTTATTTATAAAAGAATATTATTAAGTTAGGGAAAGTGAAGTTGACGCGCGGAATGTGCGCGTGGTGGAAATTGAGGGAGGCGACAGCAACCCTACCAACCAGAGGGAAAACTACGTATGCAGACAAGCTGCATAAAATGAATTAATTAATTAATAAAAAAATGAAAAAAAGTAGAAACAGTGAGAGAGAGCGCACTTTACCACTTTTATACGCTGCACGCATCTACCTTACAAAACACAAGCAACAAAGAGTGTTCCACACAGAAACACACAACCCACAAAGAATCACATTCATGGCTTTCTTCCCCCACACCTTCAACTGTTTCAATCTCAATATGCCACACACCCAGAGAGGAAAAAACAAGCTTTAGAGCTCCCCAACTTGTTTCTTTCTCTTTCTTGGAACACTCTCTCTGTTCAGTGTTCCTCCCTCTAAGATTTCCAAAAAAAAAAAAAAAATTGAAAAAAATTCGTCTTTCTCAGCTCCCCCAACCCAAAATTTCATCTTTTTATGCTTGTTGTCCATGTGGGGCTTGTTTAAATTCGGTTAATTTGCAATTTTTTGTGGATTTGTAGCAGAAAAGAATTCCTGGTTTGAAATCAGGCGTTTCTGGGTGGGTGTGGGGAACAAAGGTGGCACCTTTTGAAAAACTGGAGTCTTTTGGGTGGTTGGTTTTGTGGTCACCATTATTATTGTTCTTTCTTAGATGAAGGCCATGCCCTTGCCTTTTGAGGAATTTCAAGGGAAGGGAGTGTTGGATTTCTCAGATTCATTTTCAGTGCTTTTGCATCATCCACAACCAAAGTGGACCATAGACAAAGAGGATTATTGCTATGTGGGCAGCACTGAGCCCACCTCAGTTCTTGACTCCAGAAGAAGCCCTAGCCCCCCCACTTCCTCCTCCACAATGTCCTCTTCTCTTGGCAGCAACAGCACCAGCAAGGGTGGTGCTGGCAGTGGCACTTCAGCCACCACCACCACCACCCCAGCCCCCACACCCTCTGAGAACCACCCTCCTCAGGAGCCCAGCCCTGATAAATGTGCCATCCGTATGGATGACTGGGAGGGCCAGGATCAGTCCATTCTCAGACTCATCATGGGAGATGTTGATGACCCTTCTGCTGGATTGAGCAAGCTCTTGCAAACCACTGCCTGTGGCTCTCAAGGTGTTGATTTCAATGCAGGCTTTGGTGTTGTGGATCAAGGCTTCAACATGAATATGAACATGAACATGAACATGAATATGAACATGGTCAGTATTACTATTCCTAATTACTAATTACTAATTACTATTGTCATTGACCCTTCTGCTTTGAGCTCCCCTTTCATTGCTGATTCCCAAATTGGTGAAACTGCTTCTCTCCAGGTTTCAGAATCTCTTGTTTTCACTGCTAACAATCCTCTTATGGTGTCATCCTCTGTGTCCCCTGGCGTGTTCACTTCTCAGCAGCAGCAGCAGGAGTTTGGAGTGGTGGATGAGAAGCCCCAGGTTATCAACCCCCACCAGTTTATGGTGAACCAGAACCAGGTTCAGTTTTCAGAAAACCCTTCTTTCTTTGTGCCATTGATGTACCCTCAAGTGCAAGAACAACAGGTTTTCCCTCAGCATCCGGCAAAACGCCCTATGTTTGACGCAATAGGGCACACCAATTATCAGGCTCCAAGGATGCCCCTTTTGGATTCAGGGCAAGAGGTGTTTGGTAGGAGGCAGCAAACACAGCTTCCATTGTTTCCTCACCATATGCAGCAACAGCAACAGCAACAGCAACAGCAGCAGCAGCAACAACAACAGTCATTGGTTATGCCTTCTGCTAAACAGCAGAAGGTGAGTTCCGCCGGAGACGATGCAAGCCACCAGCTTCAGCAGGCCATATTTGATCAGTTATACAAAACTGCTGAGCTGATAGAAGCTGGTAATCCGGTTCATGCGCAAGGGATATTGGCGCGGCTCAATCACCAGCTCTCCCCTATTGGTAAGCCTTTTCAGAGGGCTGCTTTCTACATGAAGGAGGCCTTGATGTCACTGCTTCATTCAAATGCTCACAACTTCATGGCCTTCTCGCCCATTACTTTCATATTCAAAATCGGAGCTTACAAGTCCTTTTCTGAGATATCACCTCTTCTCCAGTTTGCCAATTTTACTTCCAACCAAGCCCTCATCGAAGCTGTCGAGAGGTTTGACCGAATTCATGTTGTCGATTTCGATATCGGCTTTGGAGTGCAATGGTCATCTTTTATGCAAGAACTTGCCTTAAGAAGTAGTGGTGCACCTTCACTCAAACTCACTGCCATTGTGTCTCCCTCCACTTGTGATGAGGTTGAGCTCAATTTCACTAGAGAGAATTTGAACCAATATGCCAAAGACATCAACGTGTCTTTTGAGTTCAATGTTTTGAGCATTGAATCATTGAACTCTCCCTCTTGTCCACTGCTTGGTCAATTCTTTGATAACGAGGCAATCGCGGTGAACATGCCGGTTTCATGTTTCACAAACTATCCATCATTGTTCCCTTCGGTTCTCCACTTTGTGAAGCAGCTCAGGCCCAAGGTTGTGGTCACTTTGGACAGAAATTGTGATCGAATTGATGTACCACTTCCCACCAATGTAGTCCATGTTCTCCAATGCTATTCGGCCTTGCTCGAATCGCTGGATGCAGTGAATGTGAATCTTGATGTCCTCCAAAAGATTGAGAGGCATTTCATCCAACCAGCCATCAAAAAAATCGTACTTGGCCACCACCCTTCTCAAGAGAAATTACCCCCATGGAGGAACCTCTTCATACAATCCGGATTCTCCCCGTTTACATTTAGCAACTTCACAGAAGCTCAAGCCGAGTGTTTAGTTCAGAGGGCACCTGTAAGGGGATTTCACGTGGAGAGAAAACCTTCCTCACTTGTTCTATGCTGGCAGAGGAAAGAACTCATCTCGGTTTCTACTTGGAGATGCTGAGAATCGCGGCAAGCAGTGGAGGCTGATTACCTTGTATTTTTAAAGGTGCATGGTAACTTACATTGCTGTTTATGTAATTGGTTGTGTAATTTAGGCTTATTGATGAGATCCACACCCAAATGTTTTCTTAACTACATGGGTTGGCATCTGCCATTCTATAGTTCTATTACTAGTATGAAACTATGAATATGGGTAGTAATTATGCTTTTCCTCCCTTCCCATCATCTAAAGATGGATATAACTGTTTCTTTGTTATCTTGAAAAGGAACAATTTAGCCAAGAATGCAGCCTCTATTTTCTTCTTCATGGTTTAGTTTATTCTTTCGTTTTTCATTAATGTATGATTATGACGTGAATGTGGGATACATGATTTTAATATGTAGCATGAAAATCTTCTGCCATTTCAATTGTGTATATGTGCAGGTATTTTAGTCTTGTTTAACATTGATCAATTGTGTTTATATCCATTTTTTTGCTTGGTTGAATATAAATCTGGAAGGATAACAATTGGTTCATTTGTAGTCTTAAGGAAAGACAACCACAACAAATTCATGTATAACTTATGCTTTTGTTTACAAAGTTAAGAATTTGATATAAGCATGTTTTAATAAGAATTCTGCAATTTGTTTGAAAATAACTAAAATGTTGTCAGACAAAAGCAGAAGTCATAAAACAGTTTTTGAATTTGGTCATGTTTTGTTGCAAGTCCTGGTGCAGTGAATTCATACTTTCATACCCAAAACGTTCCCTTAAACTAGTCTCAAAATAACATCTAAGGAATACTTTAGCGTTCACTTAAACTACCTTCAAAAAATGCAACCTAAGGAAACAGTCTATCCCACTTGCGTTGACTCCAATTTTGTTATAATAAAATGAATGATCAGAAAATGTTGAATTTTCTCAAGATATAGCCATGTCAACTCAGCAATGATGTTTCATTAGGGTGACCAAAATCTGCACGTTGCACCATACAATTGGGCATTACCTATAGGTCTGTATTTTAATACATAATAAAAAGGTGGCATTTAGAAAAGAAAAGTCTAATACAAGGCTGCTCGTAGAGAAAACTGGATCATTCTTTTGCTGTTTTAGTATAGTGATATTAGCGGCATAGTACAGTTGATAGATAACACGTTTTTTAAACATGTTATCAATGTTTTACTTTTGTTCTTTTCATATATATATATATATATATATATATATTTGTTATAAGAAACATTAGGTGAGTTAAATCTCGGAATGTTATTTTTGTTTTTTTTTCATATTGTGTGCATGAAAAAAAATTGATTAGGAGAAATAAAATTTACTTTGATAACTTTTTAGCTAGGAATCCATCAAATTTTACCATTATCCTCCTTTGTATTAGTTTTTTTTTTCAACTGCAAGATAAAGAAATAACAGGTTAATTTTTTCTAGAGAAAACTTCTTAAAAATAATGTTTGGACTAGTTGGGCATTGCTAAACCACTTGACGTATTTTGAACAAGTTAATTTAGAAAAGTTTGTTTATTATTTTCAATGGTTAAGGGAGTGGCGAGGAAGAGAAAAGTTGGACGATGGATGATTGAACTTCTGACGTAAACATCATAATGAATTTTTGAAGATTTGGGCGAATGATAATTATTGCCAATGCTTAATTTATCATGGGATAAATGATATTATTATGTATGCCAGTAAAGGTGTAAAAGGGGACAACTTTTGTTGTTTATATATATTTTTAATGTACTTTGTTTTTTTTTTTTTTTGCCATGATACTGTTGGTTTTTGTTATTCATGATTAATATCTTGATATCACCATATTTAATCCAATAAAAAATACAACAATGATTGTAAATATATTTTCAAATTTTAATTTAATGAACCCATAGAGAAATATTACCAACTAATTGTTAAGTACTATCACCCATACAAAGAGGATATTAAAGAAATCTTTAATTTAATAAATGTATTCAACTGTACGGATTTAAAAAGTTAAGGCACAAAGTTACAAACACGTTTCTTATGTGTGTTATGACGATATTTAACGAATTTGGCATTAAAATTTTTAACACAATCAAATCTTAGGTGTAAAAAAAAAAAAATTATAGTAGATTCATTTTACTTTTTTTAGATGAATTATATTAGATTCATTAAGAATTCAATATAATAGCATGTCTAAAATGAATTTTAGTATTGTGATGTATTTAGAAATTAAGAAATCAAAATCTAACTAACAATTATGTTAAAAAGTATCGATATTTATTGATATAAGATTATAAGTAATGATTACTTTTGTTCCTTAATTAAATTATTCATTTTTTAAATTTTGACATGGAGTATAAAATATATTATATTGAGAAGAGAATATCGTTCTTACAATTTTCATACCAAAAATGTCATAAAAAATATTAGTATCAAGTGACTTTAAAGTACCATAATAAAGTCTACAGCATTGTCTAATAAACATACACCATCAATGTTGTTTTCACTATTTACCATGTAACTTTATTTTGGTGGTGACTAAAATGAATAGGTGAGTCTATGTTATCCTCAACAACTTGAGGAGGAAGAAGATGCCTTGCCTCCTCTGCTTTCCAAACCCCACTATTCTGGTCTCTCTGTGCAAGGAACCACTTCCTACATGAAGACTTGAACCAAAATAATTAAAATCCAAAAGCATATCTCAAGGATCATTAATAAATTTCACACAGGCTTAATTATATATTTTTTTTGTTCTTGTAACATACTTTTTTCTTTCTTTATAAAGTTATATTTTGAAAACCCAAATCTAACAATGCTCTTCTGAGAAGTTCTCCTTTACTAGGTTTTGTTCATATTAATTTTAAAAATCATGTCTGTAAATAATAAAAAATACTTATACTATTGAGTAGCTGAAGAAATTACCTGCGACAAAATAAGAAATTGACACCTACCAGGTGAAGACAGAAATTATAATAAGTACCGCATGATACCCATGTACTTAAAAAAAATTATTTTTCCACATTACATACGCACATATATATATATATATATATATATATATGTATATATATATATTTTATCATTCTAAGAGATGAGATAAAAATATATTTTTTGTTATTTCACATACATAATGACATTATTAAATATATATCATTCATGTAATACTTATTTATGTACATTGATTATTACAAAATATATAAATAAACTATACATATCATTTACATATTATTTTAAATTTTAAAAGTTTTATGTAAATGAATAAATAAAGTTAGAATATATGATGCTATATTATATTGTTTTTTTTTATGATTGTCAGATATTTAGATCGACAAAAGGCCACTACTTACATAAATACTTGCTGCCCATGTTTTTGCCACCCGAAATCATGTTACTCGAAAACTCTCTTTTGTTGTTTGTCGAGAGGTTCAGAAAAAAAAAATAGAACTTTCTTGTAAATGCATTTTGATTATACCTAGTAAGTCAAAGTTAAGCGTCTTTCATGTGGTTTTCTTCTTCTAAACTGAAATTATTTAAAGTAATCAAACAAACGATTAAGGCAAAAACATTGAGTAATGATAGTTGGTATATATAGACACAATTTGTAATTAAATAAAAATCAAACATTCAATCAATGATCTATTTATAATTAACTGAGGATTTTGTGACAGGAATTTTAAATAAATTTAAGTAGTTATGTTATGTGGTTAATAATAGGTAAATTATAAGTTATATAAGTGCCATATCAAAATAATTAATACAATGGCTTTTATACTCTGTCAACCATGTTGGATTCTTTAATTGATGAACTCAACCATGTTGGATCTTCTTTATTACTACAAACTTTACAAATTCCGTGTTAATGTAGATATTTTGAAAGACACATTAAACTCTGACTAATTAAAATCAAGTTGGGTGTACGTACCTATTTAAATCAAATCTTAAGTTTTTGATATTATTTTTGGCTATCAAAATTTAATTTAACAAAATAAGAAAAAAAAATAGTTCTTTGAACATTAATAAAAGTACACAAACTTACATATTTTCAGTAAAAAAATGTATATTAGCAAATGAATATGAAAGAGAGTTATGAATGAGAGAGATAGAGGGAGGTGTGGGAGATAGAGGTAGGTGTAAAACAGAGATAAGGGAGAGGCACAATGAAAGAGTTACAGTGAGTCAATGAGGGAGTGAGATGTGGGAAAGAGAAAGGAGAAAGGTGGGCACAAAGTATAAATGAGAAATTATTATATGTTTTTAAAAATTGTCACATGTTAGTAGTCGTGACCAATGTGCCATATAATCAAATTTTATTAATTTTTCATAAATTCAAAAATTAGTTATATGTTAATTACATGAAAATTAGTTAGGACTATAGATATATTGTGGCCCTATACTATATAATAATTTCTTGGGAATGAGATGGAGAGAAAGGTGCAAAATAAAAAGAGAGATAGAGTGTAAAAATATAAAGAAAAGAGAGACGAAGATAGAAAAATAGAGCCACAAAAGGAGAGATTGGAAGATCTTGAGAGTGAAGTGTTGTAGATATTGAACACGTACCAAAACTTTAGAATGAGAGAATTCAAAAGGAAATTATAAAAAACAGAAGAATTTTCTTATAATATTGTTGGGATACAAACAAGTCCCATATCGATAAAATAAGACAATAAATAACAACTTATATAACACAAAAATACTTCAATAATAGAGAGACCTATTGGGTTATGACAAAAAACAAAATCGTGAGAGCTTATGCCCAAAGCAGACAATATTTCATCATTGTGGAGCATGCTTGTGTAATAACAACCTATGTGATATTGTTTGTGGTGGAATTTTTTTGTGAATTCTTTTTATTTGAACTAGCACGAAATCGTTTCAGTTTAGGTATTTTATAGTAAAGTGGTTAAACTTTCTTAAGAACGGAAATAGATGAGACAGAACTGATTAATAAACGTTTGTTTCCAAATTTTCATGAATGATGATCAAACAATAATTTGCATGCATATAGATACTTACGTGAATAGAATGGACAATAAATACATTGGCAATACAAATCATTGTCTAATTCGCATAATGATCAGGTTACAAGATTAGTCAAACAATCTACAACTACGGAATTAAAAGAAGAAATTACACTAATCCTAGAAAAAGAAAAGAAATGTGGTCAAGAATTTGTCATACCCAGCAATCCCATGCACGAAAGCCATATACGCAGGCGGTGAGTGCTTGTAGAGTGCAAGTATGAATTTTTCGACCACTATGAAGGGGTACATTTCTCATATTTATAGAATTAGTCGAGAGTAGTTAATTCTATGTAAGTACGTCGTGGGTGCACAACCGTTGTCC